GCTTGTCAAGATGCATCAGACACACTGACTTTCCCAATTGACACAGTCGGAGAGGTGAATGTCTTTTGATAATATGTTGGTTTTTCATGAAAACATATGTTGAAAAAGCAGTATTTGAATTTTTTCTTGGTTATGGCAGCAATTGTGGGGGTGGGGTTTGTATGGATTTATGGCATATTGGATGCTCTAGAAGACACAGTTATTATTGTTTTTGACACACCTCCTTGGGCGAATGTTCGCTGATTTTATTCGAATCTGCCGCTAACTTCCCTGACGTTAAAAACAAGCAGAGATCATTCCATCCATATTCTTCATCCTTACTCTCTCTCTAATCCACATCGCAAGCATCTGTTATCGACTTGTCCAGGACTATTTGATATCTTCAAACACCGAGGCTCGAACACAGTAGACTGAAAGTATGTGTCAAACAACTTAATCATTTAACCAGCGCAGCAGCTAATCAACGGAAAGTAAATCGTGCATTCATTGATAGTATATAACATCAACAAGTATATCATATGATGGACATTGACAAAATGCATCTTTAACAGCATGTGAACCAAAATCAAGACGTTTTTTTAAAGTATTTTCTTTTAAATTTGAATATTCATTACGAATACATGCATGTGCTAATGCAACAAGCATGAATTGTTCAGCTAAACCAATACGAAGTTTACCAATTAATCAACGAACAAGATAACGAATTTCATGAGATTGACATGAAACTAAAAGACTTTTTATTATATCACTTTTACGTTGTCGACTCTTATAAGAGAAAAAAATATTATTTTAAAGATAAAAAAATAAAATGTTACTTTATTTCCAAGTTAATTGTGCAATTTCTTTTAATTTTTTATAAACAAATGAAACGGTTAATGGTTTTGGTTTAAACATAGTTCGTTGGGTTGAACGAGATGCCTATGAATAATAAATATTTATTTTTTTAAAAATTGAATTTAAATTTACTTCAGCAACAAGACCTAAATCTCCTTTTGATTTATAATCTAATTTTAATTGTTCAACTGTACGTCCTGTACTATCAGCAATTGCTTTTATTATTATTGTTTCACCAATACCTAATTCAATTCCATCATATTCTGGTGCAACTTTATTTACACATAAATAAACACAATGTACTAAATCATTTGATGATAAACTAAGAACTGATCGAAAAGAATTTGATAATACGCGAATTATTTCTAAACGTGCTGATGTTTGTTCAATGAAAAGTAATGTTGATGATAATGCTCTGTATGGAACACTACAACAATGCAAAAGAGATAAGAATATCTAAAGAAATAATCAAATTGTTAGACTAGCTGATGTGAGAAAATTGGACAGTCATGAATGTTTTACTATTGCATCTCATAAGGTGACTTCAAACATTTACTAAATTATTCTCAAATCATCATAAGAAATCATATTAAGTTTATTAATAATCTTACAAAAATAGATTTTGATCAAGCTTTATAATTGATTAATAATTAAAAGCTATTTAAATCTTCTGATTGTCTTATGTTACATAGGAAACCTTTTCTTCTGAATTAAATTGATTTATATTTCTTTTGATATGATATTCTTAAATATTTATATTGATTTTTTTTTATGTGACTCAAAAGAAACTATTACTCGCAATTTTTAAGACATTTGCTTACTGATCAATAAGTACTACTTCGATAGTCAAAATGCATCCTTCTTTATTCAACCAGATTGATCATTGTATCCTACAAATAATACTTCTATTGAAAATAAAAATCGAATAGAAAAGTTAGTTAGGTTGTTGAATAACACTTATATTAAGAAGAAATTCTTCATTATCGAAATGAATAGTCTTTAATTAAGGTGGTTTTGCTCTATTTTCTGACAAATCTTGGCAGACATAATCTCAAAGATCAAGTCTAATATGTATCTTTCTCAGTTCCTATATTGGAAAACTGGAAATCTCTATATAGGTAAATAAAAGAAACTGTCTTTAGAAACACCTTTCTCTACTAGTAAAGCAGTTAATTATAACGTGTTTGAGACTTTAAATCCAAAAAAATTGTTAACATCTTTGTTTCTCAACTTCTAAATTGTCAATTTATTTTTCAATAGTAAAAAAACATATATTGATGTTGTAGGGTAAAAAGTGGCTAGATTTGTAAGTAAAATAATTTTTTTCACTTATTTTTTCATAATTACATGTTATTCTAAGCATTAGTTTTCGATATGTATAGATTTTTACTCTTCTCAATAAAATCTAAAACTTTCTGCTCAGTTTTGATAGATTTATTCTATATATAAATGAGTTTTATTTAAATCATATTTATATCTACATGAAGAAAATAGTCTTTGAAATGTTTTGAAAAATGAAAATTGTCAAATGTAGAATTGAATATTGTACATCTATAATTGATTTTTGCACAATTAATTCGTGTTGTATCTCTTGTAAAATTGTATGTCATGTTTTTTAAAGATTCATAGTTGAGATAAAGATGAACATTATATGGTAAACACATTTTCATATCCAGTAAAAATTGTTCGATATAATCATCATGAACTTCAATCAGACTAAGAGAAGTAAGATAAGGATATTCAATTATTGAAAAATCTTTATTATCATTATATAATTTGTTCTTCTGTGGTTTACAATTATTTACAGTTAATTCTTTCATAAATGGAAATGATTGAGCAATTTGAAGAAAAAATTCATGTTCAAATGGATGTTCATCATATAATGATACTTTATGAACATATTTAAATAATCCACCTGGAAAGTTATTTGTAATATTATCATAATATTTCATTCTATATGGATATGAATAAATATGACAATAACTATATTTTTTTTCTTGGAAATAGTCAACACAAGAAATAATTTGATTATTTTTAAAATCTTTAAATGTACGTTGAATATCTTCATTTGAACGTAAATTAATTTGATTAGAAGTACGATTGAATAAACAAATATTAAATGTAAATTTATTTAATCTTGGCATATAATTGATAATATTTTCTTTTAAATCATTTCCATCAATAAATCCTTTATAACGGTCGACTCTAAGATGTAAATCGAGTTCTTCTAAATTTAACATTCGATTTAGAAGCGGTACAATTAATTCATCATAAAAATGTACTCGCATATCAGAATATAGCGAAAAACATCTAAGATTGGGTAATTTTTCCTAGAAAAGAGAATCATTTTGATAAATTGGATATTAATCAGAAATAATCTACCTCACTATGGATTGTTGGACTTCTGCCAATAATTCGATGAACATTAACATAAAGTATACGAAGTTGATTGAAACATTCATTAAGTAAATAAAGCAAATCAGTGAAATAGATCACAGAAACATGTAATTCTAACAGATTTGAAGAAAGAACATTTGGAGATACCATGTCAAATGATAATCGTTGATGCCATATTAAAGTTGGACTGAAATTTAAATATTGTAAATTGGTGAACATAGTAAAAATATTTGTAAATATAGTATTAGTGATGTCTTGTCTTGAAATGTAGTTTTTATCTTTACTAATATCGATAACAAGTGATGATATTTGATTTTTGTTTACATGAGTAAAAGCAATGTCGTCTAAATAAAAATGAAAAATGTCTTAAGAAACAAACTAATTATTTTTAATATTGATCAAATCATATTATTGATTTGTTTTTTCAATTTCTTTAGAACTAATAATACAACATACAAATTCATACTTAGATTACTGAATGATCCACTCGACTATATTATAAATATAATAAAAAAAATTATACTGAATTCTTATTTACTTCTCATTTCTTCAGAGTTAATGAAATAATCAAAGTAAAATAACTAACCATTAAAGAGAGTTATAGCTTTTTCTACATCAATATCATATAAACTGAGTCCATATAAATCAGGATAATTTGTCGCAAGAAGAATACGTTCCATAGATGTTGATTCAAGATAAAGCCATTTGATTTTATGATGAATCGAAGGTAAAATTTCTAAACAAAATTGATCAAGCATTGGATCAGTGAATGAATAGGTGAAATCATTCAAGTAATTTGTTAATGTTAAATGGCTCGTAAAAATTGAATCCTGTGCAATTGTATTGAGTCGTTTATTAACACCTATTAAAGAATAGAGTACTTCGACATTATGCAATTTTTTTAAGATAATAATAAGAATTTCATCTGGTAAACCATTTAAATTAAACGATAAATCTTCCATATTTAAATACACTTCTACGTATTTTAATTGACATACAGATGTGAATATTTATATATGATCATTTCATTTATTTGACCGATATTGTTAATGATCGGCAATGAGAATAATGATATATTTTTTTTATAGTCTAAATCAACAATGAACAAATAATTGAATGAACGAAAGAAAAAAAAAAAAAGATAATTTCTCTCTCTGCCATTGTTGTTCAAAATATCTGATATCATGATCGTTTATAACTATTGATAGTTATTTTTATCCTGTTAAGAGAATTATGTTTTATTCGAGCAACAAAGAGTTTTGCTTTAATATTCGATGTTAATAGACTATAGATTTATGCAAAGATATTACGCAGTTTTTATATTTTTTTTTTCTTGTTAAGGTACATTGGCGAACATCATTTTCCTGTGTCTACACTGTCGATGTACTTAGTAGCTAATCAGAACATATGAATTTATAGCAACTATTTATTGAAATAACTATCATTACTTGCCACAAGTATCTTAGACTTTTTTCAGATTATATATATATTGACTGACATGGTATTGTTTTGAGAGTGAGAATATTTGTATTTTGAATGAATGAATGAATGAAGAAAAGCTTTATTTGCGGATTTGACCTCTGAGATCCTGAACCGCGAAAACTTTCGTACAAAAATTTAATCGTGTTTATTCACTCAGTACAGAAAGCAAGTAATTTATGAAATAATTTTTGTTTATGGTTTTGGTAAAATTTCTTTGTTCTGTTTCTTGGTCGACCGATGAGTAAATGAGGAATACATTTTTATATAGTAAAGTATTTTTGTAAAGTTATTTTTAAGTGTTGATATTGATGAATAGTACTAAGGATTTGCATCTCATGATATTGAATGCGACTTAAACGCTTGTGTACAAAACTCACATAAGGATTTTCAGAAAAAAGTATCACCAAAGGTCGAAAAGGAAGAGGGCGCATTATTCCGGATTGTCGTGATATATTATATTCGTTTCGTACCGATTGATCGGCTAATCATTTTCTATTTCATTTTCTCTGATTTATTAGCATTTCTGTTCCTTTCATCACTGATTAAACTGCTAGCTTAACTTGCTCTGTAAATTCACTGAATAAATTCATAATTGACTTTAGCGAACCACCGCATATTCTAATATACACAGAAGCTCTTGTCTAGAAAACCTGACCATGGTAATCATGCATAAATAAATTAAATCCACAATCAAGAGCTGTCTAGAAATTGTTTCGCAACTTGTGGAATGCCACTTATTGACATATAAATTATTTGTTTGTGGATATATCCAAGACAATCCATGAGCAGAAAGCTAACGAATAGAACAAGCGATCTATTGCTCATGAAATATTTCGCAGATATCAGTATAAAATTAATGAATCGAGGGACTCCTACGTTGTTCTGATCAATTTAAGGGTGTGGGTGTGGGTGTGGGTGTGGGTGTGTGTGGGTGTGGGTGTGGGGTGGGT